TTTTTTTGAATGTCCAGAGGACCAGATTTAACTTTTTTAGATTTTTCTACCTGGATTATTGAGCATGCATCAGGAGATTAAGCTTCAACTTTTACTTTGCTGGCAATGTTGCAAGACACGACATGTATGGCAGTATGAATTGCATTTAAACAGGAATTACAGTAATTTTATTACATCTACTCAAATGTGCGCAATTAAGTATTTTGTGTGTGTGTGTTTAATTGCTCTTTGAGCTACTTTTGCATTTTACAAAGTAGCTACATGTTGTGCAGGTACAAAGCATACATTTGTATATATTTTTGTGTACATTTATTTTTTTATTGAAGCTATTTGACTAACTTTTTTTATTTTTATTCAATGTTTTACTAACAGAATAGTCAAGTAGCAACCTGTTTTATGTGCGATTTGCTATGTCAGTCAAATGTTCAATTTTGGAATAAAGAGGTGGAAATTAAAACATTAAGTTTTTTTTTTTTTTTTTTGCTGTTTCTTCGATTAATAGGAAAAATAATCAACAGATTAATCGATTATAAAAGTAATCGTTAGTTACAGTCCTACACTCTACTAGATCTCTACAAAGCTAATTGAACAAATCATTCTAAAGAGACCAATCAGGGCTTTAGATCACATTCATACACAAATGGGACATACATCAGAGGCAACAAGGGTTTCAGTGTCTTGCCCATGGACACTTCGACATGTGACTGCTGTTGGATTCGAACCCTCAACTCTTGCATTGGAGGACGACTGCTCTAACCACTCAGCCACAGCCGCCCAAGTACTCAATGTACAGACATAATATTGCTGTACTTGGGTGCATTGATAATAAAGCTTATTCTGATTAGCATGTTATAGTCCAGCACCATGCATGAAATATGCGCCTGCCTCGACAGCTCGTTCAGTAAATATTAATAGCAATATTAGAACTGGATCCAACTGGCGTGTCTTCCCAACACTGATGTCTGTCAGCAGCTACGTAAACGAGCCCTCAGTTTAAGGCAGGTTTTAATGTTTAGACAGTTCGCGAGTGGTTCTAGTTGACTGACCCTGTCAGCGCAGATAAATCTGGATCAGTAAAGAGGAACACAATGTTCTATTTTCAAACAATGGATCTAAGCTTGTCTTTGTTTTTGAACAGGTCTGCAGGTTTTGGACCAGCTGCAGGAAGCCCCTTGACCTCTGGGGGCCCTCCGGTCCTAACCAGGATGGCTCCTCCAGTGCCTCCTCGTCCCATCCTGCAGTCCTACCGTCCATCCTACAGCTCCTTCACCTCCTCCTACAGCCCCTATGGGAGCTCCTTCTATGGTGGCTACAGCCCCTATTCATACGGCAGCAGCTACAACCTGGGGGGGTACAGACACTTACCCCGCACAGAAGATGTGGCCCCCAGTCGGTTTGTGCAGCAGGCCGAGGAGAGCAGCCGCGGGGCCTTCCAGTCCATTGAAAGTATCGTCCAGGCCTTCACATCGGTCAGCATGATGTTGGATGCCACCTTTTCGGCAGTCTATAACAGTTTTCGAGCTGTTCTGGACGTGGCCAACCATCTGAGCCGGCTGCGTGCCGACCTCACCAGAGTTCTGTCAGCGTTTGCTTTGGTGCGCACACTGCGATACCTGTACCGCTGGCTGCGGCGCTTACTGAGGAGGGCCGACGGTGATGTTGAAGACTTGTGGGCCGACAGCGTGAGTGATGTTCTTGCTGCAGGTTCCTCCAAGAAGCCAAGCGTGAAATCCTGGCCCATCTTCCTGTTTTTTGCTGTGGTTCTGGGTGGTCCCTACCTCATCTGGAAGCTGCTCAGCTCCAGCTCAGGCCTCGAGGAAAACTGTAAGGCTTCCGCTTAATGTTTGGTTCTGGTTCTGATCCAGCTTGGAGAGAGCGTCTCCTGTCAAAGTTCCAGTGAAATGCTGATGACGCAACCAGAACACCAGTCTAAATTAACCACGTTAACTACGTGAAGGTCCTTTACCTGTGATCATGTTCTGTGTTCAGCCTCGAACTGGGCCAGCGGGGAGGAGGATCACGTCGTGGCCCGAGCTGAGTACGACTTCTCTGCTGCTTCTGACGAGGAGGTTTCTCTACGGGCAGGAGACGTTCTCAACCTAGCTCCTAAAGGTGAGGTTCTTCTGTGACAAGACCTCTGATGGGCTCTGATGGGTTTTGACGGGCTCCGACAGGTTCTGACGGGCTCCGACAGGTTCTGACGGGTTCTGTTAGAACGCTCTAGCTAAAAAGCTAAAGGCTCCTCTTCCCTCATGCTGACCCCCCCCCCCCCACACACACACACACACACACACACCTTCACTCAAAAACTGTTGATACAAGTTGTGCTCAGACATGTCTCTGTCTCCCGTCAACAAAAATCATGGATGAGATGAGCACCCTGCCATGGCAAGTTAACTAGGTGAAACACTGCCTTTAATATAATTTTGAGCAAACAAATAGTTGTTTTTAAGTGTTAATCTTGTTAAATTCTTGTTAAAGTCCTCCCATGCACGCTCCCGCGGCCACTATTTGGCAGCCCGTTGATTTTTGGCACACCACCGGGTCACATTTCCAGGTTGTCAGCGGTGATGCAAATCAAACGCGACGCGTTAGCGGTGAAGCATAACAGATTAAATGTATACGGCGAAGCGACATATTTATGGATTTTTTTTCCACATTTTTAGACATATGGACTGATACGACTTATAGGGCGGTGCGATGTGTACGGTGGAAAATACGGTAATTAAAAACTGGTCAGACAGAACAGGATTTTGAGGATGTCTTACTAAATTGTTACTCTCGATGCCATAGGTCAGAACCAGGTCAAGAGTGTGATAATGAGAGTGAGTAGACGTACGGACATTTTGGGTAAAACCAATTGACTCTTATTAAATTTTTAATTCAGTACGGTTTATTTATATAGCTCCAATTCACAACATACGTTGTCTCAGGGCACTGAACAGAAACATTTATATATAAAATAAGTTAACAGAAACATTCTTATTTAAAAAAAATTAATAATGTAACATTATTTATCTGAGGAGCAGCTTTGAGTTTAACTCCATCACTGAACTCTCATCTTGAACAAGCATGAAGGCGACAGTGGAAAGAAAAACTCCCTCTTGAGGAAGAAACCTTTAGCAGAATCAGGCTCAAGACAAGCGACTATCTGCTTCAACCGGCTGGGTTTGGTAGGAACAGATACACAATGGCAGGTCAAAAATCACATGTTAAGATAGAAATGGTCCATCCATCCATCCATCCATTTTCTTCCCCTTATCCGGGGTCGGGTCGTGGGGGTAGCAGCTTAAGTAGGGAGGCCCAGACTTGTCTCTCCCCAGCCACTTGGGCCAGCTCCTCCGGGGGGAATCCCGAAACGTTCCCAGGCCAGCCGAGAAATGTAGTCCCTCCAGCGTGTCCTGGGTCTTCCTCTGGGTCTCCTCCCGGTGGGACGTGCCCGGAACACCTCACCAGGGAGGCGTCCAGGAGGCATCCTAACCAGATGCCCGAGCCACCTCAACTGGCTTCTCTTGACGTGGAGAAGCAGCGGCTCTACTCTGAGTCCCTCCCGGATGATCAAGCTTCTCACCCTATCTCTAAGGGAGAGCCCAGACACCCTACAGAGAAAACTAATTTTGGCCGCTTGTATCCGAGATCTCGTTCTTTCGGTCACAACCCAAAGCTCATGACCATAGATGAGGGTAGGAACGTAGATCGATCAGTAAATTGAGAGTTTCGCCTTTTGACTCAGCTCTCTCTTCACCACGACAGACCTGTACAGCGCCCATTTCACTGCAGACGCTGCACCTATCCGCCTATCGATCTCACGCTCCATTTTTCCCTCACTTGTGAACAAGACCCTAAGATACTTGAACTCCTCCACTTGGGGCAGGACCTCCTCCCTGACCCAGAGAGGGCATTCTACCCTTTTCCGGCTCAAGACCAGGGCTTCGGATTTGTAGGAGCTGATCTTCATCCAGGCTGTGTCGCACTCGGCTGCGAACCGCTCCAGCGAAAGCGGTAGATCACAATCTGATGAAGCCAACAGGACTACATCATCTGCAAAAAGCAGAGATGCAATCCTAAGGCCACCAAAACAGATCTCCTCAACACCTGGGCTGCGCCTAGAAATTCTGTCCATAAAAGTTATGAACAGAATTGGTGACAAAGGGCAACCATGGCGGAGTCCAACTCTCACCGGAAACGAGTCTGACTTACTGCTGGCAATGCGGACCAGGCTCTGTCACCGGTCATACAGGGACCTAACAGCCCGTATCAAAGGGCCCGGTACCCCATACTCCCAGAGTACCCACCACAGGGTTCTCGAAACTATTATGAAAATAGTTCCAAGCAGAGTTTACGTCATCAGTTAATAGAATACGATGCCAGTCAAAGTGAGACAGATCCCAGAGGAATGACTGTTCACAAAAACGTTTCGGATCCCTTTTTTGATTAATCTGGGCTTAGAAGGTGGAAGTTTAATATCTCTGAGAGTCGCTGTCGCACAATGATCACTCAAAATGTCAGCGAATACACCTTTACCAGGGAATTTGTGAGGCATATTTGTTAGAAACTGGTCTGATATGGAAGACTTTTCAGGACGGTTTTTGTTTAATCTTGTCGGAGAGTTGATCAATTGGGTTAGATTGAGAGACAGGCAACATTCCTTGAATTTATCACAGAGGGGGGTTGACTTATCCCAGTCAATGTTGAAATCTCCAGCCAAAAAGATCTCTTTGAATTTTAAATTACCAAGAAATTCCATCAGGGAGGACAGAGCCTCGGGTGTTGCTGAGGGAGGACGATAACACACTACAGATAAAATCTGGCCTCCATTCAAAGTGATGTTTACAGCTAAGGCTTCAAACTGGTTTGGAATTGTTTTAGAAGACACAAGACTAACAACCAGAGAATCTCTGATGTAAATAGTAACTCCCCCCCGCACTTTTTTGACGATCACAGCGACAGATGTTAAATCCATTGATTACCAGGTCATTTATTCAGTACAGATTTGTTGAGCCAGGTTTCAGGGATGCAGATTACATCTGCCCCAGAAGAACTGATCAGAATTTTCAAGGCAACAAGTTTTCTCAGAAGGCTACGTGCGTTTACATGCAGAAAATGAAGTCCTGACACGTTTTTAAAGTCATTTGGTGTCCTATAAATAGTGGGGGGTCCAGGATTGGGCTGAATCCCTGACAGCTTTAACAACATTATCAGACATTTTCTTGATTTTTTCGTGACTAATGTGTAATTACAGGAGTTAACAGTGTGAAAATTAGCCCCCATAATCAAACCATGAGAAACTTTTATGAAGACTTGATCATTCAGAACCCAAAAACAGTGAAAGTTGCAGTGATGGGCAGATCCAGGTGTATTAACAAGATTCAGTGACTCCAGATAATCTGAGATTTGAAAATAATGACAATAATATGAATGATGCAGAAAAGTCTCAGACCATAAAACTTCACAAATCAAATGGGCAAACAAACCCGACGAGGTGGCCCAACTGCAGTTTGAGTTGGGCTGAGGGGGGCTCCAGCCCCCCTGCAAAGATGGATGGATGCTCCCATGGGAAACAGAAGCTGGGTCCAGAACCAACAGGCAGAAACAGATTATTAGCAGCAAATAGAGCGAGCTGCCAGAAAATCCTCCTGAAATGAAAGGCATGATCCTAGCTCGTTTCAGGTCAACAGGACAACAACGTGATCCGAAATAAAAATAATTATTATCCAGGTGAGTTTGGATGGAGGCCTGCAGCAACTCCGATGTAAACTCCGAACTTCTCTCGAGCGCCACGCAGCCCTGCTCCTCCACGTTGCTCCTCCGCTTCCCTGCACATCACTTCCGCACCCGACAGCACAAGAGGCACCCCCGGTGAAAAACGAGACTTATCGGAGAGGCTGAGGCTGAAGTCGTCACTGGTCTGGTCCGGTTCCGCTCCAGTCCGGCTCCGGCGCACCACAGCTCGAGAGACGAAGAGGCTGAAATTGTCCCTGGCCCGGTTCTGCTTCAGTCCGGTTCCGGTGGCGCTTCAAACATCGGAGCGTCTACTCCAGGTGGACACAGCGATTCCACGGAGGTAGACAGTCCTTCGTTAAAAGTGACGGGCTGCTCACTGAAGCTGAGACCGGCTCTGTTGAAGACGAAGTCCCCCACAGCCACCTTCTGGCTGTGGGGGACTGGTCCAGTTCGGGGGACACAGGTACACTTCCTCCACACCAATGAAGACACCACGAGGGCCAGTCCAGCAGAAAACCAGCGAAATGCCACCCGGTGATTCTTGTCGGAATCAGGTAGAACCACAAAGGTCCAGATGAGAAGTTTGTTTTTGTTGGGGTCCAGAGAGAGAGAAAAAACACCGGACCTTCGTGCGACGACTCCCCAGCTCGAGGGGTCACCTGGCCGGCAGGGTGCGCTCAGAGTTACCGGTGGCGTGGGAGCGGCCGGTCCTGGACCAAAATATATTTTTGGACGGTCCCGTCCGGCTCTCTGAGTCACTGAACACCGAATTCGGTTGGAAGGGGGACCAACTTTAGTCCAGTTCGAAAAACTGGTCAGTTTCATAACAAGACTGTAGAGAAGCCGGAGGGAGCTGCCGTCCATCAGCAGTGCTGACATCAGAAGTGTAATTGAAAAGTGAAGTGTAAGTGAAATGTAAACAAAATGTTATGAATATTGGTCCCCAACCGAACAGAGTCTTTTAGACTATCAGGTGTGAAAACAACCTAAATCAAGTGTATGTCCCTGTTGATGAGTTGGACCAACAACATTTTGCACAAGGTTGAAAGATTATCAGATTTAGAAACTCCTGCACCAAAGGCTTGTTAGGACAGCAAACATGTACATTAGAGTCTCCCAGGATCAAGACCCTGTCGTAGTTGAACAGTATTCCAGACAGAAAGTCAGAAAATTCACTTATGACATTTTTGTTGTACGAGGGTGGCCTGTAGATCAGGCCGCACAGTGTTGGGTTGGAGCGGCCCAGCTCAAAATACAGCAGTTCGAAACTCTGAAATTTCACAGCCTGTAGCTGTCTGCAGTTCCAGAGCTTTTTAAAAACTGTTAATAATCCACCACCCCTACCAGAAGTCCTTTGAACATTAAAAAAGGCACAATCCACCGGCAAAAGTTCAGAAAAAACACTTAACTCACCAGGGACAAGCCAGGTCTCTGTAACAAACATGAAGTCCAGTCCATTGGAGCAGAAAAAGTCATTTAAGATGAAGGTTTTATTTGCCAGTGACCTCACTTTCAACAGAGCAATCTTAGTAGGACCAGTAGATGAAGGAAAAGCTAAGCACGGAGCACAGATCAGCTGTTTTAGATTTTTGGAGTTTGAACCGCGCCTCCGAGGACCAGAAATGTCGCAGCTGTGCACGTGCCTGCAGCGCGGGCCAGGTTCGACTACGGGGATCAGGCAGGACCCAACAGGATCAACGAAGCACCCGGACAGGCGAATATCCAGGAGATGGTCGGCAGGAGATGATGCAGCAGACAGTCCGGAGTTGGTTAATTTCCACTGGAGATGACCAAAACCACCGCGGCTGCGCTGCGCGCGCAGTGTCAGCCTCATGGACAGAGATGGGAAGTTGTTTCCATAAGAGAGGAGCCTGATAACTGATAGCTCTGCCTCCCATTCTGTTTTTGTAAATTCTAGGAACCACAAGTAAACCTGCAGCCTGAGAGCCAAGTGCTCCGTTAGGAAAATATGGAACAATAAGATCTGTAATATAAGATGGAGCTAGGTTGTTGAGAGCTTTGTGTTTGTCTCCACCTGGATTTAACTGAGCAAACAGGTCCGAGCTTCCTATTGGATAATTACTGCACGGACGATTATCTTTCAGCTGCAACAAGTTATTTAACCCCAACTGGTGCAATGAGTTGCTTCTCATTTCTTAAACAACCATGTGGAAAGACTCATGGTGTGGTCTTGGAAAAGATGTCAGTCTGTTTGAGAAGGGTCAAATCATTGGCATCAAGCAGAGAAAACATCTAAGGAGATTGCAGAAACTACTAAAACTGATTTAAGAACTGTCCAACACATTATTATAAACTGGGAGGATAGTGGGAACATATCTTCTTCAAGGAAGAAATGTGGCCGGAAAAAAAATCCTGAATGATCGTGATCGGTGATCATTTAAACATTTGGTGAAATCAAACGGAAGAAAAACACCAGCGGCACTCAGGGCTGTGTTTAATAGTGAAAGTAAGAACATTTCCACACACACAATTTGAAGGAACTCAAGGGACTGGGACTGAACAGCTGTGTAGCCTTAAGAAAACCACTAACCAGTGAGGCTAACTGGAAAAAAAGGCTTCAATTTGCTAGAGAGCATAAAGGTTGGACTCTGGAGCAATGGAAGAAGGTCATGTGGTCTGAGTCCAGATTGACCCTGTTCCAGTGATGGTGCATCAGGGTAAGAAGAGAGGCAGGTGAAGTGATGCACCCATCATGACTAGTGTCTAGTCATCAATGAAAGATCTTGGTGAAAAATTAATTCAACACTGGATGAAACAGATCTTGTGACATTGCAGAAGTTAATCGAAACAGTGACACAGTGAATGCATGCCGTAATCAAAGCTAAAGGCGCTCCAACCAAATATTGGTGTGTGACGAAGTCCACGCTCGATAATCCATGTATACAATCCAACATTTTTCAGTCAGGTCATCTGGACCTTTGGAGTAAGCTGTTGGGGGAAGAATCAGTTTTGTTGTGTGTTTCCTTGACTGATGAAGCCTTCCGGACCGAAGGCGAAGCGTTTCAGCACAAAAACAAAGAAACTGTCCAGATGACCTGACTGAAAAATGTTGGATTAGTGTGTGACTTTTTTTTTTTTTTGGTGGCAATTTTTTTTTTGTTCAGGCAGTGTATAAGGTAAAGAGTATTGGTCCAAGCACTGAACCCTGAGGAACTCCATGACTAACTTTGCTGTATGAAGAATATTCATTGTTTATATTTACAAACTGGAATCTATCAGATATGATTTAAACCAATTTAGAACACTTGGAAACACTGTTTCATTTCAATATGTACTTGTGCATAGTTAAAATGACAATAAAACCTCTGACTCTGACTCTAGAACCGTTCCTGTAATTCCCATATCATATTCAATTATTTATATTTAGACCTCAGTGCATCATATCAAATGCAGCACTGAGGTCTAAATTGATTTACTTATTCAAATAATTAAAAAAGATGTACCATCCACAGTTCTTAACATTTTCTGTCCTTTGGTCTTTAGAGCAGCAGCCCCGGGTGCGAGGCTGGCTGCTGGCCAGCGTAGACGGTCGGACAACTGGACTCGTCCCCGCCAACTACGTGAAAGTCCTCGGCAAGAGAAGAGGCCACAAGACCACAGAGGTCCACGGGCTTGTCCAGAACCCATCGTCCTTTGAAACAGGAGCCCAAGATCAGATCCAAGACCTCTATCCAGCCTCCAACACCGCTTCCGCAGAGCAGCTGCTGGAGTCTGTGTTTGCAGGACCCCCAGAAACCCCTGGACCCCAAAGAAGCCCAATTTCCTTTGAGGCCAGAACCTCAGACCTCAACAGATGCTGAACCTTCCTGAGAAGACTGACCTGTGGTGACTGTGCCCGTCGGTGTAGCCATACAGCAAGAACCACTCCGGACTGGTTCTGTTTTTGCTGGTTCCTGATTAAGATCTTGACTTCAGCTGAAACTGGTTTCTGACAGCTTCAGTTTTTATCCTTCCTTCTGTCACAGTTTGGTTCTGGTCCAGTGATGGTCCAGTGGTGGTCCA